TAAGGGACAAGGTACACAGTATATGCAAACAAACGCATCTTTCAACTCGTAAAACTTAGTTGTTCTTGTTCGCAGTTTTGTTTCCAACAAGTTTGGGACTCTCTGGACAGTTATGTTTTGATGACCGACCTCTAAGGTTAACGAGGTGGTTGCCAAGTTTTGTCAATGACACGCTCCGAGTTTCAGTACACAATATTTGTATGGTAGGTTGTGAAGGTCACAACATTAAACGTCGGAAATCTGACCTCTTTAGCTTCAATGAAACCTTCTCAATCTGCCTCAACTTGTCTCTAAATTAAAAAATGGTTTTAATAAACGACAGTTATGTTGAATATGAAAATTTAAACGTATTCGCAGCTTTGTTAAATGCCGGAAAATTATGAAGAGGAACATCAAAGCGTAATTTTTAGACCAAAACCAAAAACAAAACATTGCCATTATGTAACAGAAAATACAATTTAAAATGCACAAACAAATTTCTGACATGCCGACAACAAAAAAAATGGGAACGAAGGAACGAACATCAGTGTTCTACATTTAAAACAATAATCGACCGGGGGTTCAACGTTCAAAAGGAAATGTACCGTAAAGAGGGAAGATAAGTATTAATATTTTTTATTTACATGACCGGCCCTCATGGACTTATAATCCTGTAAAGTATCGCGTTTTCCGGAGTGAGAGGAACCGTAAAGTTCAATTCGGAAGGGAATCGGGGAGGGTAAGTATTCAAAACTTCGGTAAATACTTAGCGTTTGTGAAATTCATCAGTTTAAAACAATTTTGCTGAAGGCGCGGGCACTATTGTTGCATGGTTTGTTGATTTCATATTTGTATAGAAATCGAGTTAGACCGAGGTGTAAAATTGTTTTCGTTGGTTTACAATTACGGTGCTGTTGCTTTAAGGTTTCGGTTGACATTTACTTTATTGTTTATGTTTTTATTTACTTATACAGCACACATTTTAAAATTTTTCTTCATATTAAAGGCACATTCACAAGTTACACTCTTACGGATAATTCGATGTATTTTCCAAACAAAACATATCATATAAAAAAATATTTTATCCATTTTAAGCTAAGACAAAAGTAATTACACATTATGTATACTAGACGGTATATCCCAAGCGGTCACCGGTGACCGCTATCCACTAACTACATTATAGACCTTATTTCCAATTTTTAGAGACTACTTTTGTATGAACAAATTTAAGGAATGATTTTCAATAATTTTCACAAGCTAGAGACAGTGGAATCCGCATTGAGCAAGCGTGTGGATTAATGTTCAAACCTTCTCCGTGCAAAAAAAAAGAGGCCTTTGGTCAGGTATTGTTACTTATAGGCTGTTGTTATTGATGATACTATAAACTACAGAGAATTTAAAAATCAGTAAACTGAATAATTCTTCGTCTGACCTGGAAATAGAAACTAAGGCTGCTACTTAGAAGTACATAGTCTAAACTCAATAAATTAGTTTTGCTAAACTACCGCTAAGTTGCTACTACATTAGTTGTAAAGTTCCTTTCTGTAAAACTGTACTATCACGAGTGCTATTCCTCGCAAGGGTAAGTACTGCCTACCAACGGGTACAGTCTCTTAACTGTGTACCATACCTCTACCATGGGTTCAACAATTTTCTATTGGCAATCAAAGGCTGAAAGCAATAATAATCGATACTCGATAGCGACGACGTAAATTGTTTTGTATGACAAATTTTATAGCACCTCTAGCGGTCACTTACGGAACCAAAATAAAAAAGAACGTATAAGTGCAGAAGATGATTTTTAAGCCGAACCTAAAGGACAAAAACATGCCTAAAATCACCAATGTACTAGGTACCTATGCAGACGAAGTCGTGGATAGACGGAAGTTTAGCGTTAATTTACATTAAATATATTTATCAAAGTAAGTACCTAGTACTAAGATTGCATACCTAATTGGCATATTTCCATATTTTAGATCCTATTTACAATCTGAGGTGAAATATTTTTACAATTATAACGTTTCTTTTCCTTAAACGATTGCATTTCGGAGATTACATTTCGGAGATTTGTTACTTTCTTAGTTATATACTTCTATGCATTTTCTAAGTTTATTTCGACGCTAATTTAGAACATTGTATGTTGAACACTGTATTGTTAACCCCAACCTAGAACTTGTAAGTAAAAGAAGTAAAAATAAGAATTCTGGTTAGTTAAAAGCAAAAAAGCACCTTGGAAAAATAACTTTATTCTATATTACTAAATCATATTTTATAACAATCATGTTCTCTGTAAAAATGTTTCAATCAAGTGGGTAAGGTGCTCGATCTTCACACTATTTTCTTGGCTAGGCTTGGCGGCCTGAACACTGGATCTTAGGGCAACATTCTGGGTAGTTTTTCGATAAGTCTTGAACCATGTAGCAATTGGGAACATCAACTGACCCTGCACCGCATCTAAAAATGGTTGTTAGAAGTTTCATTTTTATTCGATACATACATACATAGGTACATAAAATTAATATTTAAAGGTTTTTATTACCAGTACGTCAATTTACATTAATGGGAATTGATTTTAATGTTGTTTGATATTCTATACTCAACTCCTGCTCCGAACTGGGGCCGGTTTCTAACCACTTCTCAAAGAGGGAATTACCGCTGCGAATTGTGATAAAAGCTGGACTTGCAAAAAATTACAGGTTACCATTGCCTTGAGTAAGCTTGACGATTAATGCTTATTCTTTTCGTGTGAGAAGATGTTTTCATAGCAGTGGGACAATAGAAGAGAGAGAACTGAAGTAGACAACAAGGTAGAACATAGATTCTTGTTCAGTACTAAGTGCATCGACTACCTTACGAGTCATAGTCTTTACTAAAATTTTTGGAATATGTTTCGCAATCATTATTTTATTTCTTAGATAGAATGGTTTTTATGTATACTATGAATTACTTACGTGAAATAGGACATCCACTTCTCTCCACATATTACTTCCGTACAGTGCCCAACAGTGACAGTGCCTCCAAAAGGAATAACATCATTTATTTCTTGAATGTAACAACCTTCTTTGTGAGCTGAAAAAAAAAATTAAAATAACAAATGTTTTTAGAACCTAATTTTTGTAATTACGAAGCACTTAAAATGGTGCCTTCTTGGATGAAAGATACTGACAGCTAATGAACGATTTGTGCGTCATTCTACTTTCAAGTATAAATGAATGTGATCTTCCGTATTGATTTGGGTTTGAATTGGCCGCATCATGTAGCTGCCTATATAAAAATTCGCTTTGGTCCACCAGGGTGAATTAATTAGAATGTAAGTGTACTAAGAACGGTTACTATGCAAAAAGGAACTGTGACCCTCAACGTGTATTCCACATCTTGACACACCCACGTCATGTATTTGGTCCACCGGGATGATCCAAGTATTTCCGGTGGGTAAAATGATGAGAGGCCGATCCCATGTCTCACCTTCCTCCTAGCCACTCACAACCCCTTAAAATGGAGCCAAAATTCAAAATTTTGCGTCTACTTACCAAGCGCTGCAGGTTTTGGAGGAGGCCGGCCCATCATTGTCCCTGCGCTGGCCATCCCGGCAATTAGGGCAATAATTAAAATCTTCGACAGCATATTATAATTCTACACTGTAGCAACTTTGATCAATCTAATGGACCTTTATCGCCCTGCTATTTAAGTGTAGTTTGCAGCTGTCCGAGATGGAATGACAACCCGATGGCCGTGATCTTACATTTATACCAAAACAACTGATTACCTACATTTGACAGTACTTATACAATAGAGGCTGTGTATGTTACTTATATAATATTATTGTATGTATGAGTATGTAGTATGTATTGACAATTAACACGTGGGGACTAGGTGTATTATTCTTACTTTTTGATTATAAATACACAAAGACATATCGATTAAATGTGATAATTCATAAACAATGTCAAAATTCAAAACTCAGGCCGCGATAATAACTATAAGCCTAAAATTCAGACCAGGACCCTGTAATAAAGGATGTTAAGCTTATAAAATTATAAATAAAACAGTTCAATTTTGACCTAACTGCACGATTGGTGCAGTGGCTTTTTCTGAGGAGGGAAATTATCGAATGATGTCCTGAATCCTCCCGCCCTGGGTGGGGCGATAGGGAGTTTCAGACTCTTACTGACTAACAATTTAATGACCTCATCCCAACTACACCTTCGAGCGGAAGCCCAGGTAACCATTGCGGTTGTCCAGTTTCAGTCCAGCATCGGCCCAATCTGTGGTGGATCCCCGACGCCAGGAGTTTCGCGTGCGGTGACTGGAACGCGATGCATTTTTTTTTTTTTGAAAGTGGGTGTCGTGTGATCCAAAATTATTGTTCCAAGTTTGAATGTATTATAATGTATATGTGAATTTGATTGCTTATAAATGCACCCATGACACAGGAAAAAATGCTTTAAAAAACTCAGCAACACTAAGCACTAGTAATTACATTGCATATCTATCTATCTTGCGTATGTATATATCTACATAATTAGGTAATTGTGTAGGTATTGTACTAAATTTATTTGCACAACCTTTTTAATCTGAGGTCAACGTCAATGAAGAATATTTTTATTACGATTTTTTATCAGTGTGTTGTGCTATGCTTCCCAATCGACAAAAATTGCATTGATAATAATATGTTTATTTTCCTTAAGCAAGATTATTTATCACGATTCACTACTGCCAAGCAAGGGGTGTTCAGAATATAAGCAGAGCATTTTGTCCAAAGTTAATTAGAAATTCCAGGTTTCCTCGGGATGTTTTCCTTCATGTTATGTCACTGGTATCTAATTTTTTTAAGAAAGTACATATAACCCTATATATAGTATTTTTCCTAAGAGAAAATATTTGTAACGAATTGGCTCAAACAGTTTTAGACCGATTTAAAAAATTATTTCACCATTTGAATGCTACACTATCACTGAATAAATATTTGTTCACGAAGCCGGGAGAGGCCACTAGTAATTTAATTGGTTGCTTATAGACAAAAAAAAAGGAACGCCCGGTGTATATTATCTCTTGTGGGTAATCAGTTGTTTTGAAATAAATTGAAGATCACGGCTGCCAAGTAACGATTCGACATCGGGTACCTAACTAGAAACTGCACTTAAATAACAATTCGAAAGTGATGCAAAAGACGACTGTTAATAATTTAGAAACCATTTTAATTCAAACCTTTTAAAAATTTAATTAGATTTAAGTATTTTGATCATAGTTGCTACCGTTGGACTATAAAATGTTGTCGCAGATATTTATTATTACTTTGATTGTTGGGATCGCTAGCGCCGCGACAACATTAAGTCGGCCTCCTCCAAAGCCTGCAGCACTAGGTGAGTGGTTTTTGCCTACTGCCTGCCTCCTAGGAAGCCTATAGAATTATGTAAATTGTTTTTACCCAACTGCGTTAAAGCAATAACAAGGGTTTACAATTTTAGCGTCATCTAGAAAAAATATTGTTAACCCTATACACAAAATATTATTTATAAATATTTTTTTATTTAATCAAATTAGTTTAATCATGTTTAATCAATAAACACAGTCTAATAATATTTTTTATTTATTCACAGCTGATAAAGAAGGTTGTTACATTAAGGAAATAAAGGACGTTATTCCTTTCGGTGAATCAGTAGCTCCTCTTGGTAGTTGTCACAGGATCTATTGTGGAAGGATGTTGGCCTATGCATCGTAAGTATATTATCTTTATTAATAATTTTCAAGGGGTACGGTAGACTCGATCGAAACATTACGTGAATAACAAAACATAAAAAATGACGATTTCGAGTCGACAACATATATCGAATTACATATAAATTCGGATTACGGAGAATATTTCGTTTTATTAATTCATTTTAATGACACTAACAGACAAACCGCAGTCGCCATCTTGAGTAGACAATAAACGTTCCGTTTCATACTAGCTCTGAAATATGCCTTGCTAATCAATACGTTGTCGCGTCAAAAAAGTATAAATTAACATGAAATATAAATAATTTCACGCGAAGAAAGTCGCGGGTAACAACTAGTACTCCTATATTATCTTATATCTTACACTATTATATAAAACTGAAAAAATTGTTTGTTTTGAACGTACCAATCTCAGGCACTACTGGTCCGATTAGAAAAACTTTTTTGTGTTGGATAGTCCGTTTATCGAGAAAGGCTATAAAATATTATGTTACGATCAATAGGTGCCGAGCTAAACAGGTGAAAGCACGCGCAAGCAGTTAGTTTATTTATAAAAATCATAAATGAAAGAAGGACAGTTCATTTTAGACTTTATCTGGGTTCATAGAAATATTGTAAGTCCGATTTGTTTGTGTATCGTTTTTTATGTAATTATTATCGTTTTACAATATTTATGTGAATTAAACATGTTTTTGTGTTTCGTTGACATTCTAATCGTTTTTTGTCGAGTTCATTACTGTTTGTACAAGATTTAATGAAATAAAATTTCGTCACCGGAAATATCGGGAATTAATACCGGGGTGAAGCTGGGGCAAGTTGCTTGCTTTCCGCCACGACCGCGAACAATTAATATATCATCATCATAACATCACGCCTTTTATCTCCGAAGGGGTTAGGCAGAGTTGCACATTATGCCACTGTACAATGTAACACCCACTTTTCACTATTTATGTTATGAGTCATAGGGGTGTAATAGGGGTGAGCCTATTGCCATATACCGGGCACAATTCCAGACTCCATGCTACTACTGAGAATTTTTAAAAACCCAGTAGTACTTTGCCCGACCCGGGAATCGAACCTGAGACCCCTTGCCCGGCAGTCGCACTTGCGACCACTCGGCCAACGAGGCAGATGCAGCAGAGCAATTAATATATTTATGTCCATTTTACTCCAATATATTTAATCTTATTATTTAACTATTCTAGGTAGTATGTCGAACAATAGTTACTTTTAGGACTAACGAAATTACCTCTAACAACCAAATTATTCTTTCAGATGCAGCACAGTTGCGACTGATGATCCCACATGCCATTTGACTGATGAAGACCTGAGCAAACCCTACCCACACTGCTGTCCTCACCTCAAGTGTGACGCTCACGTCGACTTAATCCCTTTGATTGGAACACATTAAATAAGTAATATTAAAAAATGTAGTTATTAAAACATAAGTATTTACCTGCGTTAATTTCAGGACATGTTTTTATAACCAACGCACCTTAGCCCATAGCTCATTAAAATAGAAACGAAAACAAATGGACGCAATTAGACGTTCCTTTCAAATCACTCTCTATAAAGATGCAGATTCGAAACCTACCAAAATGGCAAATATGTTCCAATGTGACTTTTTCCGAGTTATGTACACTTTCTAAGATTATTTAGACATGACTGACAAACGGTAAATATCGCGAGGAGACCTGAGCTTATTTCTAATTATGAGTTTAAAATTGCCAACCCGCATTGAGCAAGCGTGGTGATTAACGATCAAACCTTCTCCGTGTGAGAAGAGGCCTTTGGTCAGCAGTAGCCACTTATATAGGCTGTTAATGTAATGATAATTATTTACTTAAGAATTTGGATCTTACATACTGATTTTCTCAAGGGTCTCATTTAGTGTAGCATTATTCAATAAATAAATGTTACATCACAACTGAAGAAAGAAAACATTTTCTTGTCTATATTTAGGAAAGCACAAACATTCGAAACTCATGGGATCAAATACCGCCATTGGCAAAATGTAATATGATGTAGCTGCTTCCCTTGAGGGAGGAGCATCATGACGGTTGTGTTTCAAAACTTCACCACCATGTATGATATTGTTGGGTAAATGTATTATATGTAGGTACCTACAATGTTCTTTCAATGATGAGTCAAAGTTAGAATTCAAATTTTATCAAGAAATTAATTCGTTTATAAACTTAAATGAAGGATTCGGTAATAGGAAAAATGCAAGATATTGGTATTAATAATGTCCTTTGTAACCAACCTGTAAAGATTTGTTATTTATCAGTTTTTTGTTATGTGTCATTGATTGTTGATATAGTTAATTTAACTATACATTTTGTTAAAATATATTCAATCACCTCTAAACAGACGTTCCTTTACAGAACTTTTCATTCAGAGATATGGTTTCGGATGAGGTCCGATGAACCCTCGATTAATAATGCATCCAGGATTCAGGAGCACAGAATCCATGCGTGTCTCAATCTGAACTAACCGCACTAACATCATTACATCACTATTGTAATGATCTCCAGACCGTGAACAATGTTAGGCCTCGAGCCCAATGGGACCAGCCCCACACAATTTCATTAATTATTTTTGTACGCGCTTAATTAGCCGCGTCTTGTACGCTCAGCATTAAAACTGTTCTTTGTGCTCCTTCCAACAAAATATAACATCAACATTATGTACACTGTAACTGTACATCCCGTAATTCAATTTATACAAATTTCCACAAACGAAACTATAAATGTCCCAAGTATTTGAAGCGAGTGCATTAACAAAGATCCTTAGTATTCTTCAAACAGATTTTTTGTCTTGTAACCCACATTCCTGTTCCGTGACTTTATCTGAAATGTAAAAAGTAATCAACATAAAATAAACTCTCCGTAGAAAAACGTGGCAACATTATATATTTGAGAATGGCAGATCGATTTTCTTTATTCAAAAGCCGACTGAAGAGTCAACACAAGACCTTTTATCGTAATTCTTTGCTCGTGAACTTTGGCGATTATACATTTTTCCGTGTCAGAATAAAATTTAAACATCGCGCAAATAACGGTCGAATCTGCTTGCGTCATGACAACGAGACGTCAGGCGGGAAGAGATATTACTTCAAAGAGACCACAACAGTTTTACGACGTCACAAAGGAGGAGAGCGAGGAATGCCACATACAATTTGTTTTTTCTTCTGGTCTCCGCATTCACAGTAGTGTGTTCATAGCCCAAGCGAACGCATTAAGAGAATGGCACCATTTGTGGGGAATTTCATTAGTCATTCCCTGCGGTGGGGGTATTCCATCATAGATTCCTTTCGCGTCTCACGTACCGCGGATACTTCGCAGACAAATATGTCGGGAATAGGGGTGAATTTTCAATTGGATCTTCATTAATTATTTACCAAGCGAGTTCCCAGAATTGTTCGCTAAATAACGTAAATTAGACGCGTAAATATATTGTTGGCTAGGCTTGTTTGCGCGCACTAAAATGCTATTAACAAAGTCCTAGTGAATCCCAATTAAGTACCATAGCGTGGTGTATCAACGTTGGTTGCTTGTTAATAACCGCGCGAATCAATCTAGGCCACAGTGATCGAAGCACCTTGTACTACTCGATTTATTAACCAGTTCAGTCAGCCGCCTGTCTAGTTACAGCTGATATTTTTGAAAATACTTTCAGGTAGCGATTTAATCAAAGGTCTTTTTTTTTTAAGTGGGGAAAATCATCGAATGACTGCTCCCGCCTGGGTGAGGCGGAAGGAAGTGTCAGACTCTTACTGACTAAAAACCACCCCGTTCCTTGTCCTGCACGTCGAGCCGGAGCCCCGGTTACCCGTTAGGTTCTCCGCGACCGTTAGGTTCTCCGCGACTAATCAAAGGTCTAGGGACGTTTTAGGCTTTCTAGCGATGTTTTATTATTGATGTGTGTGAATTATTTTTCTCGTTTAATTAATTTATTAAACAAAACGCTTTTGGATAAATTAAAGACTTCGCACAAGCTAGTTTTTCCATTAACCTCACGGAGGTAGATTGGCTTGTGTCTGATATGGGTTCTATTGAGCCCGAACCCGTTTCGTTATTGAAATCCGAACCTACGGTTTCTATATCGTAATCTTTATCCTTACTTCAGCCTTTAGGATATTGAAACAATTCTAAAGCTGGAATCTGGAATAGAAGAGTGTGAAAGCGGTGCTGTGCATGTATTTCTGTTAAATATATTTTTTGTTGCGAAAACTGGAAAGTTGGTGAACCAGGGATTCGGTTAAAATGGGCTTGTTTTGTGTAATGCTAGAATTCGCTTTAAGATGAGTATTTTTCTTGTAGCTTGGGACACAAACGCGGGCAGTTTTTTGCGATGCATGCTGACCCAGTTCGATTAGTTTTCTTTAAACATAGCACGTCAGCTTTGATAATAGTAATAAAAAGTTGGGACGTATCTGGGACTATATATATATGTTCCTCGCACTCTGGCCGCGCTCAATGATCTCCTGGATTCCAATCCAACTAGTGATCTGTTTGCGGACGGATGGAAGATTTTATCAGAATGCTTGAAGTACTGCGAGAGAAACTCATGAATGGTGTTAACCCTTGTTTTAACTAAGTTTTACTTTTCTATTGTTGTATCAGTTACTGTTATTGGATTTTTATGCCGTTGTGACTGTTAAAAATAAATAAATAAATAAATAATAAATATAGTGGGATCTTGTTCCGGGGAGATCTAAGTTTGATCGGAACGACAACCGCTGGAATGTTTGGATGTGCATCCATTCTCCAAATACGTGGTGGCTGATATAAAAACATTTTTTGTCAGCAACCAACTGATTTAACGATCGACTCGTATTTACGGAAATATTTTTTTTTAACGTACGAAATAAGTTTTTTACAAAAACGGAATACGTTAGGGATAGTAGAGAAACTCGGCGGTCGTTAGCTTAAATCCGACGCGAATACTAATGCGACGACATTTGAAACATTCTAAGAATATTTTAGGATTTCTTAAATGTCAATGTAGTTGGTAGGCCTATGCGACAAACATCTCTGTAAGTTAGGAGTTTAATTACGACATGCCTTATTCATCTTATAAGAAACAATGCTGTGAACGTGGTTGGAATTCGGCTCGCCTTCACTTATTATAATGGAACTCAAAACATATGGAAAACTACTAACTCTATTCTTTTACGTGAATTAGAAGCGACATTATGTAATATAGTATGCTTTACCAATATAAAACGTACTTCACATATAAATCATAATTTAATTACTAGGAAGATGTAATTAACTGACGTAATTGACTGCCTAGTTGGCCGAGTGGTCGACTCGAAGTGCGACTGCCGGGCAAGAAGTCTCGGGTTCGATTCCCGGGCAAGGAGTCTCGGGTTCGATTCCCGGGCAAAGTATTACTGGGTTTTTAAAAATCTTAGTAGCACAGAGCCTGGAATCATGCCCGGTGTATGGCAATAAGCTCACCCCCCCCCCCCATTACATGGGACTCATAACATAAACAGTGAAAAGTGGGTGTTACGGTGTACAGTGGCATTAAGTGCCGTAATGTGCACCTCTGCCTACCCCTTCGGGAATAAAAGGCGTGATGTTATGTTATGTTATGAAGATGTAATTAAATAAGTACACTAGAAAATTACAAAGAAATTCGTATATTGTAATGAAAACAGGCAAAAAATGTTATTCTACTTTATGTTTCTTTATATTTCGCTAGACAAAGTTGCTTTATGAATATTACGTACACACAGAACCGTCTCATCTGACGTTAAAACAAACAAAGACATACTTCCAATCAACGTTTCTTCTATACTTATTTTATTCTTTATCGCGTTACGGTTGACGCAGTATGATTATGCTGCATGGTGAGGGTTCATTTTCTTCTGTGTCGTGGACTTGTGGACTTTGTTTAGAGACACATATTCTAACATTTTTTTTCTATGGCATAAGTCGGTAAATGAGCAGACAGATCACCTGACGGTAAGCAATCGACGTTGCCCATTGACACCTGGAACAGAGGGGTTACAAGTGCGTTACCGGCCTTTTGGGAATTAGGAGTTTGAGGATCGTGGGGATTCAGGAAACATGTACATCAAACAAGCAATTTAAGGATCGTCATCATCATCAACAGCCTATAATTGACCACTACTAACCAATTATGCCTCTTCTCAAACGGAGAAGGTTTAAGCATATTAATGCTTTAATTATTAAGAGCTTTAAATATTAGTAGTTATCAATATATAATTATATATATATATATAATATATAATTAAAAAATATAAGCCAAGGTTTCCTCACGATCGTTTGTTAGTGGTGTTTTGATAATCTTCATCATATAACTCAGAAAATGTTACATTGGTACTTGCCATTAGTACTTAACTAGTAGGTTTTGAACCTTTATGCATGAGAAGAGTCTTGAACCTCTGGGCCACTACGACATTTAAAGACTATACACAAAATTACTATAATCGAACTCGAGACAAGTTGTGCAGCAGCCAGCTCAGACATTTTACCAACTGCCGTGTTGAAACATCGACTAATACTTAGGCTTTTTTTAAGGAGGAAAAATCATCGAATGACTGCTCCCGCCTGGGTGAGGCGGGACGAAGTGTCAGACTCTTACTGACTAAAAACACCCCGTTCTTTCTCCTGCACGTCGAGCCGGAGCCCCGGTTAC